CTATTAAACACATGTGAACTCATATGACCCCTGGACCCACATGCACGTGCAAAAAGTCCGTTCTCGTGCACGTGCACACGCACATGGACGCGGCGGGGGATAGGGGAGGGGGGGTGGGGGGGGCAAAAAAGCTATAGGTATATTACTACTGTCCAGTCATCCAGTTTATGATACATTAGCAGACAATCCAGAGGCTTAAAACTCGTTGAGAGGTTTTTTTCTAAAACCACCTTATGGGATCACTAGCATAAGCTTTTTAAATTTGTTCTCAATTTTAATCTACTTTTCTAGCATGCTTTATGTGAAGCAACTCGCAAGAACAAACAGAAATTGATCTAAGTGAGGTTCACAAACTGTCCATTTCACTTTCGCTTGTTAACAGATCGAGAAAGGTCGACGTAACGTGGTTACTATAAAAATGTGCCATCCAGTCTTGGAAATTTAATGACTGGGTTAACTGAGCTTGTGCAGTACAAGGATGCTAGTGAACCAGTGTTGGCCACACCCCGTCTACTACTGATATCAAGACCTTTTCACTGCATCTTTCAGCCAGATGCTTCGTGTAACAACTGAGTAGCGTAGACTATTGAACAGCTGTATATCATTTTAAAGTGTTGAGGCTTCTCCCAGATATTGCGAGTGGTTTATCTCGTAAAGATTTTACAAGGCTCCACATGGCTGCTGGAAGATAACAGAGTCTTTCCAGATGATCCCAAAATCTAGGAACAAATCTGAAAACTGTGGTGGAGGTTTAAGGGAGTTGGATAAGTTGGGGAAAAACGTCATATATTGCATGCCCTTCTTGCCTTCATAAGGCAGTTCGATAGAGATGACAACAACTGGGCAAAGAGAAAGGTCTCATCAGAGATTTCTGGGATGTCTTTTCTACATTTTTCTTTAATATACAAAGAATGGGATCTGCTAGCATATAGAGCTGCCAGAACATAAAAGCTCAGAAGAAACCAGCACATGAGTACAAATAAAGTGAGCAGTAAAGAATCATACTTGAATTTCCAGTAGAACCAGGCAACAAGTTCACCATCAAGAAAACTACACTCTGTCCCTTGAGAGTTCTTCTTCCTCTCCTCTCCACTTCCTGTTGGCTTGACCTCAGCTGTTTCCCATGACCACATTTCTCTGGGGCGCTGTCACAGCATGCATTTTTATTATAGCATATAAATAGACTCCCTTTTGCTGTATGATCTAAAGAGGCCAGGCTATTTGATAGATACTTACCGAATACCAAAGCAGCTATGGCAAACAACAAATTCAAAGGCCAGAGAAGCCAAGACAGCAGTAGAGGACAATTTCCCTTTCCCCCCCAGCCACTGTCTAAAGCCTGTATTGGCTGCCTTTTATACTCCAAGGGCATCCATTTTGCCAATCACATTAGACTGACACAATCCAACCAATTGAATTAAGCTGCAAAAATAACATCAGCATCATCACCAAGGCAATTCCAGCTCCTGTTACTCAGCATCGCAGCAAAGTGTTTGATTATTTTAAATGAAGGGCACTGTGCAGAGAGAAGATGCTTTCCCCTCACATAGAACAAAAGGCCAACATTCCAGGTGGCAGGTAAGGTTTCTTCACGTTTGTCTGCTGAAACGCATCCACCAATTTCAGCTCACTTTGCACATTTTTCAAATGTCATACTCTTTATGCTACTGTGCTATTAGCTGGAAAAATGCAAAAACAACTGGGGGAATTTTAGTTTTTTTTAAAAAGGGTGGGGCCACTTATAGAAGCAATATATAGCAAGAGACATAATCATAATAATGAGGTATTAAAACAAACTTTTGCTATTATAAAAAGGAAAAGAAAACCTTATTTTTTATATTGTTTCTATATGGTGTGCTATTTGTAAAACACCTACCCTTAGTTATGGTAATGCGTTACTGGAAGACAAACAGTTGGACCCAGGCAGCTCCCATCTTTCAGTATTTATTGTAAACTCAAACATGCAGTCATTTGCAACTGGAAATGATCACAGATGGCAGATCCAGCCATCTAACAGAACTGATTCCCCCATTTCAAATTACACACCACGCATGCATCTTTTCATTACTGATCTCAGCTGCTTGCCAGCATTGCTTTGCATCACTGCAGCTCAATGCAGGGTACATTTGCAATACTTGGGCTTTGCAGGGCTTACCTGGCATAAATGTCTGCAGCACATCAAAAACCAAGTAGAAAAACCATACATCTATAATGTGAGCACCATAAACACCAATTTACTCGCTTTGAATGTGTTCACTGAAACTTGAACTGTGCACTGAAATGCAGGCAACATTATAGTTAGTCAAAAAACTCCCCGACCTCTTCCGAGGTGTGAAAATAAATATGTGAGTGATGTGGAATATCATTTTCTCCCTGTGGTCGGGTGCTCGCCTTAAGAACAAGTCTGAAGCCGCCTTCAAAACATGTTTATCTGTAGGTTACAGTAACTATAGAAGCAGAAGAAATATAACAGATGAGGAGAAGTCAATGAGTTACCATAGTAGGACAAAATCAAAAAA